CCCCAAAACCCCAAAACCCCAAAACCCCAAAACCCCAACAAATTTCTTAGAAATTGACCATTGTTAATCCGATTATTCGATATTTTCCATTGTGAATATATTCTCAAAGTTGTCGTACCAGTAGGGGAGTATCGACATCAATCTTTCACTCTGCTTCAGGAGAGTATAAGCCTGGACTTTCCTTTTAGGATGCTTCAAGAGCATCCTTCCATACATATTTAGTCCCATTGCTTTGGTATATGAGAAATCTTTTTCCATCTTGGTCAGTGCTTCCCTAAAAATCTTCTCCGCCACAGAAACTTGCTGATTTGAGGAGTAAAAGACTGCAAGATAGGTTAAAAATCTATCTATTTTCTCAGGGGCTACGTTTTGATGGAAGTCTAGGCCAATCTTGAACCAGAATGAGATATCACTAGGTGTCTTACTGTGAAATAACAAGAATTCAACCATATTGGTTATAACTCTGCCTGAATCCCTATTCTTAAAAACTCCTGTGTATCTATCACCATTTTCAACACTATAATTCGATGGGATTACAGTTTTAAAGTCCAGGATCTCCTCTGATATTTCCTTCTCGATGTCAGTGGCAGGGTTCGTTGCTCTAATCTGAGGAATATCTTCGAGAATGGAAATGGATTCTTTGAAAATATTAACGAAATCTGTCTGTTTTGCCTCAGTAATCCCTTCCTTTTCAGACAACCGGATATCAGAGATGTTCATGTTATTGAAAACGAAGCCTTTAAGACGCTCATCAGGAACCATTTTTAGGATACTTCTATATTCGCTGGAGGATTTCTCAAACTCTTTGTTAAGGAGATAGTAATTCCCAAGTGAGAATCTGGTCCTCTTCAGATTTTGTGCAGTAAAATCCATCTCCAACATATTATCAATCATCTCTTTTGCTTTACTTAGATTTGTGTTTAAGTAAAATTCAAGGAGGGAATTATGGAAGGCAAACCCATTATCTTGGACATCAGGAATTTTTGTCACCATATCTTTACAGATAGTGAAGTACCGTTCAGCCTGTGGCATCTTTTGGGATAAAAAGTTTACATAAGCCAATTTGTTGAGGACATGGAGATATACGAGGGACTTATCTTGCTTCTTATCCTTAATTTCCTTTAGTGACTTCTTCAGTTCTAAATCTGCATTTTTATAATCTCTCTTGTTTATGAATTCAAGTGATTTTGAGAAGTGGCCAAGCCCAGTAATTTCTTCTGCTACATCAATGACAGTTTCTATATAATTTTAACCTAAAATTACCTTCTTCTACCTCAGCTTTGGCTAATTTCTGTTCAGAAGTAGGAGGAGCATCTTGAGCTCCAAAAGGATCTGCCAAGGAAGGCTCTTGGTACCCATTTGCTCCATGATTTTTGGTACAAAAGCTTGATCGAGAGAGAGCGTATATCCCTCTCTGCTTCATGCTATATCTCGCAAAATAACTTATGGCCATATTTAATTTTTCAATAAATTGTAAAAATATAGGGGTTTTGGGGTTTTGGGGTTTTGGGGTTTTGGGGTTTTGGGGTTTTGGGGTTTTGGGG